ATAAAATAAGCCACACTTGATACACATAAAAAATGGTTGCAGCCACTTCTTTTAAGATGTTTATTTACACATTTAAAAAAAAAAACAACTGGAAGAATGTGTGCTAATTTTACATGAATTTGTTTTATTTAAAATGGCATGGATGCTTATAAAACCACACTTGCTGTAACAGCATATAAAAATGTGATACAGAGAAAAGAGTGAAATGAAGTTTAAGAACCTGGTTAAAAAGACCTGAAATGTATTTTAACCTAAGCTAAAAGATACCCACACTGACAGTGGATGGAAATCTATTGAAGAGAAAACCTGGTTATTTTAGTAACCTAATCAATTTCAGCATTCCTGTCTGAGAGTTTATTATGATATATCTGCATTACCACATTTACAGTCTAATTTGACAGTGTAGCATCAACGTCTACAAATTATGTATGTTGTAAACTGAATCATTCAAGAACTGAAACACAGTATCTTAAGAATCATAGAATGGTTTGGGTTGGAAAGGACCTTAAAGCTCATCCAGTTCCAACGTCCTGCCATGGGCAGGGACACCTTCCACTAGACCAGGTTGCTCCAAGACCCATCCAACCTGGTCTCAAACACTGCCAGGGATGGAGCATTCACAACTTCTCTGGCAACCTGCACCAGTGTCCCACCACCCTCACAGTAAAGAACTTCTTCCTTATACCTAACCTGAACTTCCCCTGTTTAAGTTTGAACCCATCCCCCCTTGTCCTATTGCTACAGTTCCTGATGAAGAGTCCCTCTTTAGCATCCTTGTAGGCCCCCTTCAGGTACTGGAAGGCTGCTATGAGCTTCTCTTCTCCAGGCTGAACAGCGCCAACTCTCTCAGCCTGTCATTGTACAGCAGGTTCTCTGGCCCCCTCATCATCCTTGTGGCTGCTCCAGCAGTTGCATGTCCTCATGTTGAGGACACCAGAACTGCACACAGCACTCCAAGTGAGGCCTCTTTAGAGCAGAGTAGAGGGGCAGAATCCCCTCCTTCAACCTGCTGGTCAACTTTATACATTTATTTTTCACTAGCTGTTTAAAAATTTCAAAGTTGTCTTTTTGTTTGTTTTTTTTTTTAAGATGTAGCAGTATCTTTTTTTCTCGGCAAAGGACTATCTCATAATAATACTTCTCTTCGAAACTGTGGTTCTGACACATCCTAAATGCAGACTACCTGATAGAAAAGCATAATAAATCTCTATTTATGTGTGTCCTTCCAGTGGGTGACATCTTAACCTATGGGAAGTTTATTTGAATTTCCTTTACAGATAAATCAGATAGTGCTGTCAAAACTTAACTTGCCTCCATCAAATGCACACAGTGATGTTTTTCCTACAAATCTCTTCTATAACTATGCTAGGTTATCCACTATCTTTTTCTTGGAAAATATCTTCTTTGCAGAATCTGACTCTGCAATGACTAGAAAACAGAGATTCCACAGAATTAGTAGTTATTTCATCCAATTAAAACTGCAGGAATTGTTATATGTCCATTACACAAAGGCACATATTCCATCAAGAATATTTTAGGCCAAGAAAATACATGTAAAGAAAAGAATTAGAATATAAAACAACTGATTTACTGTTATGTGAGATTAGTGTGGACCAGCTAGAGAAGTGTTACTATCCTATTTCTGAAGGCAGTTATATGTATATGGATTTCTCAGGACATTCAGAGACCACCTTCTCTATCTAGAGCAGAGCATTGCTGTAATTCTTGTCTATTGTGGCCATCCCAGAAGGACAAACAGGACTCTCAAAATGGTTTATAATCCCTCCACTTTTCACTTTAATTTTGTCAAACAGTTCAGTTACATTTGAATGTCATTATCTGTGAGTATTTCTACAGCATTAGCCCTTAAATAAGAGACACTGAACAAAAACATTGTAAGAGAAGATCCGAATGAGAAGCCTGCTTTCTGCAGAAACAGAGCTATATCCCTTTTTCCCTCCTTTATTTCACAATATTTTGCAAAAACAAACAAACAACATTCCCAAAACAAGCAAATAAACAAACAAGAGAAAAAACCTCCCGCAAAACCAAAAGCACTTTTCAGTGAAAAAAACAGGCTGTTTTAAGGTACCATTTTACACAATCTATCATTAAGCTTAATTGTGATTTCATTGCTGCTTGTGGTTTTATTCAGAACCTGTGTTTTCATACTTTGGTGATGCTGATTCCAGTCATTCATGGCTGATAATCACATCATTTTATATAACAATGACAATTTAAAAGAAACTGAACTGTGCTTTCTTATTTTTAGTCATGAGCAGCTGAGAAGACATCAAGGCCCAAACAAAGTCCTGCTATGAAAAATTCATGATAGATCTTCTCTCTAAAGCTTGTTGCTGCTGCATGTTTTAATTATATTTAGTATCTGGGGAATTAGAATCAACTCTTGAGAAAGGAGGGAAGAAAAAAAACACAGCATAGTGTAGCATTATTCAGACCAAGAAATCCCCAAAAGGTAACAATGTTCTTCTTATCAGCTTTGTAGGTTAATATTAAATTATTACTTTTTGATTTCTAACTGTTATTTCGAAGGCTAAAAAATCCACCTCTGTGCAGCTCAGTTATTGCAAGTTTTCATAGCAACTGCAGGATGCAAAAACCTCTCTTTCAGGAGTAGGAAGTTCAAAGGGATAGCTAAGATCAAACGGTACAGATTGTTTTAAAAATATATATGCCATCATGGTATGAAGACTCACAGTTCCTAGGGACTGTGAAATATAAGTTCTGGGAAAATCTGAAGGAGCCAAGTGATGAATTTGTGTGAGACTGAGACTTTCAGCTTTTAGAATGCTAGAAGACATCCTGAAAGACTGCCAGGAGACCTTAACCGCAGTGGGGGTTTTCTGAGTCTCAGTACCTAAAGCAATACATACTGTATTTGGCCCAATACAGTCATCCAATAGATATTTATATGGGGACATTACCTTCAGATCATGCATGGCATGGTGCATGAAAATTTGTCATACGTGACTAGCTCATGTAAATGGAGTCACTGCATCTTTCTGATGTTTTTTGTGCTGATATCACACCTTAAATCCTCTTAAAACTACTGTGCTCATTGAATGTAGAAAGATTGTGAAAAACTGACTGTATGAATGCAAGCCAAAGGTCTTACCAGGAAAAAAAAAAAATAGAAAAACCCACCTGTTCTGTTTATTTTTAATTATGCCATGCATTGGACTTAAATGACAGGTGAGAAAAAGATGACTTTGTCAGTGCATCAAATGAATGAATTCACAGTATATATACATTCAGAAAACACACACTGCAGTGGGGTTAGGGTCTTTTTGTTTGGGTGTGATCACAAGTAAGCAAAATTTCTATATGGCTTGTGTGTTCTGGCACACAGCTTTGAGAAAGGCATTCTGTGAGTGCCTGCTCCTGCAGACCATATGGGGTTTTAAATCAAAGTATTCTTACTCATTTCTCTGCAAGTTAACAGTATGTACTGGTTACTAGTTAGAGAAGTCTTTCTTTCCCTTTAAAATGTTTTGACCTGACTGTTTTAGTGCTTGGAGTCACATTCCACATCCTGGCAATTACTTCTTTTTGTCAACCTGGACATTTCTGCGAGACACTCATGTTGTACTTTACAGTCTCACTGGATGTGGAAGTATAACATAAGCAGGCTTGTTGTGTACATTTTACTTATTTTTTTCCATCTCTTCTGCTGGAATATGTGACCCCTGATTTAAAGAAAGGTGTGTGTTATGGGCCCAAAGATATGGGATTGAGATAGGAGGATCTGGATGCAGCCTCCTGATCTGACCAGGACAAAATATTGCTTTGAATCCTTTGTCTCCCACTTGAAAGGAATAGTCTGTATGTTATACCAGGCTGAACTGGCTCTCCAGCTCTGTCTTCATCTGGTTGGTTAGACATTTCTGTCATGTAGTCTTATTACAGAATCATAGAATCATTTAGGTTGGAAAGACCATCAAATCCAACTGTTAACCTGGCACTGCCATGCTTATCAATAAAACATATCCCTAAGTGCTACATCTACATGTCTTAAATACCTCCAGGAATGGTGACTCCACCACTTCCCTGGGCAGCCTGTGCCAATGCTTGCAGCCCTTCTGGTGAAGAGATTTTTCCTGACATCCAGTCTAAACCTCCATTAGCACAATTTGAGGCCATTTTCTCTTGTCCTATCACTTGTTGCCTGGGAGAAGAGACAAACCCCCACCTTGCTACAACCTCCTTTCAGGTAGTTATAGAGTGGGGAAGGCAACGGGAAGGTGCCTGAATCCACAAAACCCTGGTGGCAATGAAGGTGTTGAACATGGCATGGGTATTCACCAAATCACACTGGTTTGGTTTAGAACAATTGAAAGGAAATACATGACGTTTAACCAGCTTCAGTAATTGTTTGCCCTGGGAGATTGCTGTGGAGTCAGGCTGTGTCAGCAGAGTCCAAAAAGGGGCTGTTCAGAAATAAAAAACATGTAGATGAGGCCCTTAGTGATATGGTTTAGTTGTGGACTTGGCAGTGCTGGGGGAACAGTTGGACTGGATGATCTTAAAGGTCTTTTCTAATCTGGTTGATTCTATGATTCTAGGTCCCTGTGTAGCAATTAGACTGTGAAGGTACAGGGGGAGAAGGAACAGCAGAGGGGCCACATCCATGTACTCTACACAAACACCTACACACCATCAACTACCTCCTTTTCTGGGGACAAAGCACAAGCCTAAAAGGACTTGAGAAGTAGTATTTAAATTCTGTATTTTCATGTTTCCATCATTATCAACAACACAATCACAGGTGAGTGCAGACTGATGGAGCAGTGCTACCCAGGTGGGGGCAATGGGGCTGATGGTTCCCTGCTCACACCCCTGATGCCAAGTGCCATCACCTGTGTTGGCCTCTGCCTATGGAGAGGTTGAGGCACGGCTTCAGTTTAGCTGGGGAATAGGAGAGAGGTGGGAGACTGTTGAGAGGCTGGAGTTTTGACTCCAAAATTTCTAGAGAAAAAGAAAAAATAGGCAAGGATGTTTTATGTCCATTTTGATCGATGTGGAGGTTGTTCTTAGTAGAGAATCTCTTGTACCTGAGGTAGGCTGTGCTGCAATACCTTTCCTAAACATGTTGGGCTCTTTTAACACCTGTTTTTTAACTGGTAGTTGTGATAGTAGAGACAGTGAAATCTCGTTAACGTGAAAAGCAAACCATGCATAAGCATTACAGATAAGTAGCTTTGTGCAACCAAGTTATATTTTGAAGAAAGATACTCTATAGATGGCATGCAGAAATACCTAGTTTCCTTGGTTGTAAAAAATCTTTTTGGAGAACGTTTATAGTTGTTATATTCCAAGAGTAGAAAGCAGTGTTTTTTCACTTGTATTAACTGAATGAATGTTTTCTGTTTAATTTCCTCTTTAAAATAATTCTGCCTTGTTCTGTGTTATCTTGAAAAATTATGTGGATTTCTAGTCATGATTGCTGTGTAAATTTAACTGTGTGTCTCTGCTAGTCTCTGCCAACAAAGATACCACAATTAAAAGTACCTCAGCTACTCTCTTATTATGGGCAGCAGTGTTTTTTATACAACAGTAGCATCTAGTAGAGTGCTTTTCTTATATATCAAGTGTTGCAATTAATATTGTCTTTCCAGGCAATATCATTAAATCCTTTGGGGAGAAGAAATACTGTATATACTGAATTAGAACTGCGTATCATCCCAGGCAGGTGGCCTGGGATGTTTTATTCCAGGGTTGTATGTATGACTGACAGACTGGATCAACAGCTCGTGGGAAAGGCTGATATCCATCTCTACAAGTTGTGCTTTCAGGCTACAAGCACAGTCTCCTAGTCCATAGTGAATTCTTGGCAATTGTGAGTTGTATCTAGCAAACACCAGAATAATTCCTCGGTTTTATTAAAAAAGCAAACAAAACCCAAAAACCAAACCACTCTGATCAACTCCAATTTTACTCTTTCTCCAAAGGAGTATTTGCTTTTGCTGGAGAATGCAAACATTTCTGTGCAAAATTTTAATTTTATAGCCTAGAGTGTTGTGTGCGCCAGCTCTTTTTAATTATAGTACCCAGAAGCTTTATATACACCTGCTAGCTAATTTGCATGTGGCTCTTGTGCTATTGGAATATTTTCCTTATTCCTTGTAAGCTGACTATCTGAAATCACAAACTATACACTATTTCCAGTTATTCTAATATTCAGAGGGCGGAGATAAGAATTTTTGTTGTCTTAGATGTTAATGAACATATTTTCACTGTAGTTTGAAAAGCATCTGGAGCAGAAGCTGTGGGTGACTAATTGCCTTTTTGGGTTGATTTATTTATGTATCATCATGGAGCTTGTTCCTGATCAAATTGTCATACTTTGTGCTTGCTCTTTCTGGTGTGTGTGATGGCCCTGTCAAGTAGAAGCATCAGCCCTGTGAGAGGCTATGTCAGTATGGGCCTGAGTTTTGGGGCCGGTCAGTGGTTGCCCATGAATAAGGTGTCTATGTGCCAATGTCTGTGTCTTAGTTTTGTAATAATGGGTCTTCACTTATATTGCTGTGTGTATAGGTAAAGTAAAGCAGATGGTTGATTATCCTTTTTTCTATACCTCCACTTTTCACCTTGTTTCATTAAATAATTGCAATCACTTTTGTTTCACTTTTATTGACAATGTATTACTAAATATGCATAGTCATGCCTGCGGAGTGTTATTTGGGTCATACTGGCAATAAGCAGAACAGCTGGATGCTCAGGAGTTTCTGATCAGTATTAGAGCTTTACTTTTTTTATGAAAGGATACTGGATTTTTATTTTGTAAGTCTTGTAAAAGACATCAGTCTGAGAAACTTTCACAAAGGGAAAACATTCAGATTTGCATCCCAGTAAGGAATAGGAATTAGTGGGTGTCTCGTGAGACAGCATTTTTATCTTGGTATTTCTCAAATCCCTGTATTTATATTGGAGATAGCCAAATCAAAAGCTTACCCAGACAGATTAAATAGGGAGTGGGTGAGATTTAATTTGCTTGCATACCAGTCACACTGAAGGTAATATTACTACCTGAACTAAGCCTTGTTTCAGGTGACCCAGCACCGATAAATTTAATTCAGAAGTATAAAAGCCTCTTCAACATTTGGGATTGAAAGCCCAACAAATGTTTCCTTGAATGGAAACAAGACATCAAGTCACTTAAGTGTTCAAGTGTATATCGTTATGGTGGAGACAGGGAATCTCTTTCTTCTGAGTTTGACTTCATGACAAGCCTATAATGAAGTGCACTCCTCAGGAAGATGGAAATCTGTAATTTGCTCGGGAGACTGATTGGAAGAGCTGTCTCACATAGGGTTTACATAGGGATTACAGTTTTTTGCTAGACAGCAGTTTCGTATTACAATGACAGTGTATAAAATAAAATGTTTCTCAAGTAGAACTAAATGAATCGTCCTAAATCAGTCTAAGCCAAATGATAGATTGTGACTTTCATTCATCTGCAGTGACAGTGAAGAAACATCTTTATATCTGGTATATAGTAATTCATGTGGAAAACATCTAACCAATTCGGCTCTTAATCTCTATGCTTTCTCTAATGTAAAGGTATAAAACCTACTGTATTTTCAGCTTTTTAATATAATTTATGATACAGGTTCCCTCTCACATTTTTTCTAGCAGAATCTTTTCACTACCTGAGTTCTCTGTGATTCTCACAGATGGAGTGATGTAGCACTCAGCTTTTCTCCAGGTGGCTTTAGTTAACAACAGCCAACAGGCTGAACACATTTTACATCTGCTTGTGTTTTCCACTCATCCTTTTAATAGGACAGAATCTATAGCAATGTGTAATGAACTGAACAATTGACAAAGCAACTGTGATATGTTGTCAGACTTCCAAGGGTAAAGATTAAGGTATGCAAAGGTCAAACCTTTAAAATTCTGATTAGAGGTAAACATTTCTAGTGTATAATTGGCAATAGTGTATTTCTTCTGTGGGGATATTTTTCTTGTTTCAGTTGTGTCTGTAACTTGGAATTTTTTCTTCCTAAGACATCCTTATCTTTGATTGTTTTGGTCATCTCTAGTTCTTCTTATCTTACTTTACATTCAGGAAAGGAAACTTAAGTATGTTAGAAGATGTATTAATTTGTTTTCAATTTATTCAATTACTACTTTCCTTATCTTGTGAAGGGGTACCAAAGGTATCATTACTTAATTTTCTTTGTGTCAGTTTTATTTAATACTAGTCTTCTGTCATGTTATACAGAAAGTACTGAAGTGAGTCTTGAATTTTTTGGCACTTAGGTTTCATACTGTCTCTAGCTGGAAAATGCTATTGGAAACAATTTCAATCTCACCAATAGCAGGAATGTTAACTAGGAATAGAACAGCAGTGCAAAGTCCAAGTAGCAGATGGTTACTACTGCCATTTTCCTGGAGCATGTACTGGGGTCAGTGTTGCTCAGTGGCCTTAACAAGCACACTTGGAGACAGTGAACTGAAGGAGTTACCTGAAGGTCCACGTGCAAGTTTGATGGCAGGCAGGTGAAATGGGCTGACACAAATCTCGTGAAGTCCAACAAAACTCATTAAGCTGGGTCGGAAGAGACCTTAATCATCATCTAGTTCCACATTTCTTGCTATTACTCAATGTGGTAATTCATTGTTTGGTGATGCTTATTAAAAAACTAATTAAAAAAAAACAAACCTTAGTTTTGCAAGATACAGCTGATCAGCTTGGTACCTCGCATGTTCCTTGGTCTTTTCAACCTGCTTTCATAAGTGGGTAGTGACTGAAAAGCTTTTTCAGTTGTCCAAACGTGTATATATATGTTGGTCTTTTGACACGTCATTAAACAGTAGTCTGAGAAGATAATATCTTATGAAACTGTAATTTCTTCAATAAAAATCACAAAAAAAAAAAAAAGTGTATGCAAGCAGTGGGTTTATTCTAGGAATGTTTAGGATAAATCCTATGATAATGCAGTATGGTATTATTCATGGTAGATGGAGAGCTTTGGCTTAATGGTTCAGGTCACGAAGTGTCTGACAGGTGGCGTAAATAGCTGTTGACTGAAGTAAAATTACAAAAATTGTTTTAAAAAAATTATATTGCATTACTCTGCTAATACTGAAACAATATTTTACTTGAGAAGCTGTTCTCTAGCTCTATGCATGTAGTTTTATGCTTTTTAAGAATGCCTGGGTGAGATTATTTCCTATAATCGTGTTTGATTCCAATTCACGCTGAGCCAGTAGATGCAGAGGGCAAGACAGAGTATTTAGCAATGAAGTTTGTTGGAGCAGAAAGAAGGAACTCTGCTGTCCTACCTTAGATGGGTAAAGGAGAGTAAACTATCTTACCATGTCTTCCTTTATTCTGGAAAAGGAGGGACACACTATTGATATTCTGGTGACCAAGCTGCCATGTGAAACCTTCTGCCTGCCTCAGACCTTGCTTTATATATGCATTCAGAATGTCCATCAAATCAGTTTTGTTAATAAATACAGAACTGAAAGAATGTCCATTTCTTAATATGGAGAAGTTAGTGCAACAGTGGCACTAAAACACTATTTTTCCTCAGACAAGTCTTGCAGAAAAGTGTCATGCATTTTATAAATATTTATGATAAATGTAAAGAAAATAAATTTTCATTGAGGTAGGAAGAGGTGAGAATAAATACTTAACAGGCATTTTTAAGAATTGAGTTCATGCTAGTGTCTTTGGGTTGAATGGGCTTGAGTTGAATGTAGTGAGACAGAAAACTAACCAAGAAAATTGTAGTTTTAAACTTTTCCTAAATCAGTGTAAGATTACAGACTTCTTAGAGGAGTGGCACTGGAGATGGGAAACAGGATTACCAGAATACCATGCTTTGCCCAAAATACATCTGGGTGGTCTTGAAACTGTATTCAAAGTGTTAATTTGCAATTTATGTGAATGGGAATTTGTGCTTCATTAACGATATTCTGGGGAAAATTAAAGCATGACAAACTATCCAATAAATATGATTCTAGTGAGCACTGGATTTAGATACTAGACTAATGGGGAATTTTAGAGAAGTAACTTTGTTATTCAAGCTTTAGTCATTGATTCAAACTCTAGATAGTTTTCAAGCAAGATAGTGCTTCAGAAGATGATTATGTACTAGTTGTATTGAATTACTTTCTTCCCATACAGTCTGGCTTGCTTGTGAAATTAATTATTGCCATGATTACCTTAGGTATAAAATACAGTCATTTGCTTTTTTGTGTTAGGACCTTAATAATACTGAAAAATTGTGCAAGCTGTTAATAATGAAAATATTTTCATTTTTTCATTGGTGAAATACAGCACCTCCTAAAATACAGCTATCACAACTTCTGTCAAATGGCACTACGGCACCGCAGAAAATAAGCTGAGGTCAGAGTCCAGTCCTCAAGTGAAGAAACAGCATTGAGCTTGTATTCAGGACATGGATGAAAACAATGTTGATACCGGGGGGCACATATCCTAACCCCTCTATACTAATTGCAGACTATATTTGGAGGCTCTGCGCATTTATTTTTAAAGCTCTGTAGTTTTGAGAGTGTTTCTTCAGGTCACATACAAATATATAGCTCTGGAAAGCATCAAGCTCTTGTTTAGTGATTAACTGCCTTTAGTTATTTTGATATTACTTTGGCATCAGTATTTCTATGTTACATTTAAAATTGTGGTGTGTTCTTATCTTGTAAAATGAGGGCTAGCCCAAAACAAGCCATGATTTTTTTTTTTTTTTTTCTCTTAATCTAGAAATACAAATCAGGTATGGGTAATTGAAGTACAGATTGTAACCTGAACAAGTTTTTGCTGCTTCTGCTTGACAGGCTTTTTGGGATATTGAGAATAAATCTGTATTTCCTAGTTGTTCCTCACTTGGAATGTGAAATGGTAACTGGAAGGACTAAAGGAAAAAAATTTAAAAGCTACATACTGTGACTTAGATTTAGCTGGGATCTATGGATAACAAATCAGGGAGAAAGAGTGCAATAAACCAGGTATTACCTTGAAACTTCTTCATTATTCCTTTTAGGTAATGAGATAAAATTCATTGGGTGATAAAGCTCAAGTTTTAAACTTTATACTGTTTCCTCTTCTTCCCTGTGACAAACTGATTCTAAATAAAGAATTCAGCAGAACAAGCTCTTTATCATCTTAATGCAACCTATGCAGCAGTACTTACTATACATAAAGCTAGTATAAGGTACTCCAAAGTTTTTGTTTATTTGTTTTCTTGGAGTTTATTTTTTAAGAGGAAAGGTGCATTACCACAGAACATTGTAATTCTAGCTAAGCACATAATACTTTTCACCTACTTCTTAGCATCTGTCTTCTAGGGAAATATATTGCTGTGCCACAATAATTATCCTTTGATTCATATATTCCAACTGGTATATTTTTCAGATGTAAAATATATGATTGAAATGCAACTCGTATCTGCCTAGAACCTTTTTTCCTGCTTCCCTGTGAGTAGCTGTATCAATGAAACATGCCTTGGCTTATTAGAATTGATTTTGTTTAGGAAACTGAAGTAAATATTCTTCCCTTGCACATAACTTGAGTGTTTTTCAAAAAAACCTGGGCAGAACTTACTGTGGTCTTAACTGCAAAAAAACCCACAGCAAAATAAAAAACCCCAAACTTAGAAATGAGAGACTTTTAAAATCCTTGGCAGTGTTCAAGGCCAGGTTGGATGGAGTCTTGGGTGACATGGTCTAGTGTGAGGAGTCCCTGCCCGTGACAAGGGGGTATGGAACTAGATGATCTTAAGGTC